CCATCTTCCTTATTAACCAAGCTTTTCCCAAATAAACATGCTCCTTGTGTGCATGTCTCCTATTTATGATTTACTTCCCATTATAAAGCTACAATCTGCAATATTAAAAATAATACACAGACAGATGTTTATGAGAGGCTGAACAGGGTTTTATTGTACAGACTCTGGTATTTGTGGTTTATATTTCTTTAATCTCTAGTGAAGTGTGGTTCCTCCCGCCCTCCCCAATTTACTGCTTCTGCCTCTTATTATCCTTATAACAGGTGATGGTGCCCTTTAAACACGTTTTCTTTCAGGCTCTTACATGCTGCAGTATGAGCAGGAGTATGAAGAAGTATGATGACGTACGTAAAATGGCGACTTTAAGCTAAAAATTAGAAATTAGGCCTTTATTCTGGAGAGCTAGGTCCACCCACCCCGAGGCAAAGAGTTCCTTACCTTCCATTTACATGACTTCAGCAGGGTATTTGATCACCCTCTGCTGGCTGAGCTGCTCGGGCAGCTGCCAGTCTGCTGGATTTTGGGAGGGTGCCTTTCTGCTCTGGTGAAGTCCCAGACATCACTCAGGATTTCATTTTGTGCATTTGAACTGTTACTACAGTTTAGTCACAACAGTTTGAAATCACTGGCTGCATATATAGTTTTTTATTTTTTATTCGAATGGATGGAAGAGAATTCTGCCCCTGGGTCAGATAATCATCTCAGACCTGTTAAATAAGCAGCTGTGACATGCATCATAACAGTGGCCTAAACCACCATATTTTTTCAATATGACACTTCGTTGCTTTTTTCCCTTGGCCCGTGGTTGGGCTTACATTAGAAAAACAAACAGCACTTAGCTATAATTAAAAATGCCCTACGGTAAGTGGGATGACAAAACAATGGGAATGCTGTTCATATGGATGAAGTCAAGTGTAAATGAAGTCTAAAAGAATTAAGTTGAATGCAAGGATAAAATTATCTTGTTGGCTAGGCACAGAAAGTATAAAATAAGCCTTCCCAATACATCAGATCTTGCATTTCACAGTAAAAAACCTGATCAGGGTAGGTTTTTTGTATCATGAGGCAAATACATCCTTTGCTGTAGCAGCAGAAACATAACCTTCAATTAAATATTTGAAATGTAGTTATATATTAATTGGTAATTGTAGAGTTTTATGCATACAAGCATCTACCTTGGACATGTATGCAGTATACTTATGTATACTACTTGCATTCAGTTTCTAAAAATAGGAAATGCTCATAATAGTATTCGTAGTATTTCTTTTTTTTCAAGATAGTCAAGTCCTACCTGGAAGTATGTTTATTAAAATTTTATGTTGAAGAATCACTCTATCATAAAGTTTTTTTAAGGCATGCTCCAGACATAATTATGAACATAGTAAGACATAATTATAAGTAGGGTTGGTATTTTTCAACCTCCAGTAGCTGTCATCTTGCTTCAGGTTTAGCTCTAGTCAGAGCCTTGCTGACCAACCGACTGATGTTTCACTAATTGCCACTTGAAAATGAAAAGGGAAACTGTCTAGCTTTGAAACATTATTCATGAAAGAAGGATCATGCTGACTTGTTTTCAGAACAGGATCTTTTCCCCCTGTCTTGTCTAGACAGGCCAAGTACATGACTTTGTACTGAAAAGGGCTCTCTGGTGTGTCATTAGGCACGTTGGTTTAGTCTGGACTGGTCTGGATTCCCTGGTCAGAGGGTTTTGAGGTCACTCCTTGTATTTCGGTACAGACCTCTGCAGGTTTATTTCAGTTTGACAAAGCTCTAACATTTGCTTTCTACTACCTCCCTCAACCTGACTTTGATCCATCTTGCTTTACAAGGAAGGATTCTTCTCTGGTTTTAGTAAAAGCACACACTGTTTAAATGCATTCACTGAGCAAACTAATTAAAGGTACTGAACTTTTGTTCACAAGTTGCAAATACCAGATCCTAAGTGTATTCTGTGTATCTGTATTTTCATTGAATAATCTGTTTAATTAATTTGCCCTATTCCTGCAATACATTTTTCTTCAAATATTTCTTTCAGACTTCAGCAGAATGTGATTATGCATAAGTCTGGCAACTTTGAGTCCTCCATTAGATACTACATTTTGTTAGATTTTGATGTTACTTTTGCAGGTGCATGAGTGAGAAAAAGAGGAAGCCTCACTGATACGCAAGCACTGCTCAGCACTAAACAAAACATTGTTGTGACATCAACACTGTTCTACAACACTGTCCAGCACTGACTATTTGGATCACAAATCCAAATAGCCACCATGGAGTCCATTGTGAAGAAAGTTATCTCCATCCCAGGCAGGGCCAGCAGAGGATGGCTGCTTCCTTGGCAAATTGATTTGGCGGGAGATCAGAAGGCAACATGATTTTTGACAACACACCCCATTTTCAAATCAACACAGAATTCCTGTGGTATTGTAAGCAATTTTCCAGTCAATGTGGGCACATCAAAAAGGGAACAAAAGGTCTCATGGCTCTTTTTTTTTAATGTACCTTCACAATGGCTATTTTCACATGTGTGAGGGAATGAGGAAGTAGCCTTAATATTTTACAACAGAAGTTGTTTGAGTCTGCTTTTTGATTCCATATTTCAGTGTGGTCTGTTGTCTATGACAAACTTGGGTCCCTTTCCCCTAAATCACAATTCCTTTCTTCTGGTTAGTTCTCTTATGATAATGTTAGTTAAACCCCAGAACTTTAAGAGTTTAGTATAGCTATGAAAAATGTAATGTTTTGTCTAGTCTTTTGTGTGAAAACCATGTAATCTGGTGGCAAACAGACACCTTGAGTTCTTAGCTTTAACTGCTTTTGACTTGACATCTTGCTTGAGCATTTTACATCAGCCATGGGGGAAGCATGGAAAGCACTACATTAGGACTCAACACAAAGGCACAGGAAAGCGGTACAAGTTAGCCGAAGTAGCTTGCCACATATTCCAACTGTAATATGATTGATTCTTTCTAATAGAAGCATTATGTTCTTTACCACTCTAACTTGACCCTTTGTTAAATTCTTCATTTAAGATACCTGGAAAGTTTTCAAGGTGACTTTTCTAATCTTCCAAGACAGCTTTGTTTATTTTTTATTCCAGTTTCTTCATGAAATTGCAGAAATGAGTCCTAAAGCATCGTAATTATCAGGTTGCTAATGTTGAATCTGGTCTTTAAGTCTCCTTTCCAAAAGTAATTGTTAATGGCCTTTTCTGTTCCATGGGTTTCAAAGGCTTACTTCATTTGGTTATGATTTTTTTTATAGGCTATACTCAAAAAGAATCTAAGCCCTTCAATGCCTTTTCAGTTCTTTGTTGTAGCAGAGAAAAATACAGTAACAAACAGAAGAAAATAATTTGTTTGTACAGTATTTTATTCTGCAATTTTCATAGGTCAGGGACTGCAGGGTTGGACTGAAAAAGCTTAAATTTGAGGACCTCATTTAGGCAAATACTTATTTTATAAGTACACTTTCACAAAGTGAAATAGATCGAGCTTTTTCCCCACAGGAAATGCTTGTTTTCCTTGCATTTCATACCTTCTATTTATATTCCTAAGTGCCATTTTATATGTTACACATATTTATGCATACAATTTTTTATTGAAGCAGGTTTTTGATGCTACGTGTACCAAAATATCATTAATACTCTTGAAAAGTGTTCAGAGTGAAGTCTGCAAATTGCTTTTTTCTATAAAGCAAATGAAAAATGAAAATGAATTTGCTCCCTTTCTCAATTTCTTTTTCCTCTGCTTTGCTATTACCATGCTTGCATTATGCAACAGACACGTAAGTGTCACACCTCAGTAACTGATTTAGGGACTTTTTAGAATTGGAGGTCCTGTTGTCTCAGCTCTGACTAAGTTAAGATTAAAGCAAGGTCTTTTGCTGATACTGTTGAAGATGAGCAAATTCTATCTCTTTGCTGGCAAGGAGCAGAAATCATCTCTCTGAAGCAGGAGCCAACCCGTATTGCAGTCCTAGGGAAGCCCAGGGTTCAGGGAATGGCACTCCTTTAATGAACTACTTGTGAGAGTTTCTAATTCTGTCTGCTTTGCCTCTGCTTGTGAATGACAATCAACAGAATTTGTCAACATACTAGTAGTGTAATCATTAAATTTTAATTTGTCTAGATATAATGTGTTCTCTGTTTTATGTGTGTATTTTACTTTGGAAGAAACCTAGTGAGAAAGCTTTTCATAATTGTGTGTATATTTTTTGTGAATATTTCCTAATTACATCTCCAGTGCTTGCTATGAAGTATACGTGGTCTCATAGGAATTGTTCTCATGACAGAATCATATTTAGGGGAAACTGTTCTCCTTTTTTTTTGGTAAAAAAACGAAGTGTAAAACTACATCATGCCTGCATTTAGCATTGAGACACCTTACAGGCATCTTAGAAGTTTGCTAACTTTTAAAGAATACTAGCATGCAGGATTTCAATGTGCAGACACCAAGTACTTGATTGTAATTAGGTGGGAGACTGGCAGATTTGCTTTGGGAAGGTAGTTAAGGAATAATTGTCTGTGTCTGGACAGGATTGTTCTTGGTTACAAACTGTCCTGTTCGTTTACAGCTGATGCAAGATTTTTTTTTTAATGTGGGACAATTACTGTTTTTATTAATAGTGCTGTCTTGCCCCAAATATGCAAGGTGTCACACAAACATATATGAGAACACAGTCTTTGTCCAAAGTGAACTATAATCAACCTGTACTGCAAAAAATATTTCTTATTATTTAAAAAGGTGAATTTTCCCAAATGGTGAATCTGGTTTAGTATTTGTTTTAGTATTTGTTTGATTCTGGTGATCAGGAGTGTGTCGTGTATATATTTATACATGCAATGCTATAAGAACAAAATTGATTGTTTTGGTGTTGAAATGACAAAGATCCATCCACTATTATAGCATCTACTTGAAAAATATTGTCATTTTAACACTGAAGAAGGGAAGGCATCAATTTTCTCACAAATTTTTGCTTTGGTTTCTTTTTTTGCCTTTCAGAGTGCAAATTCACCTGCGCCAGTGGTAAATGCTTGTATCTTGGTTCACTGATTTGTAACCAACAGAATGACTGTGGAGATAACAGTGATGAAGAGAACTGCCTGCTTGTAACAGAGCATCCACCTCCAGGCATCTTCAGCTGTGAGTATTGGCTCCTTGTGTGCATCCATGTATGTATGTACGTCAAATATGTCTGTTTACCTCAGAAATCAGTCTTTTTGGAAACTTGATCTGCAGTATGATATCAAGGAAGTATGAGACAGAGAAAGTAAATACTATTTTTCTTTGAACAAGCAGGGATTTGTGACACACTTTCCCCAGGATTCTAAACATGGAAATCTGTAGTTATTCCAAGGGAGTTTTTGCTACAGACATTGCAGATATAATCATATGGATCCTATGTGGCCTCTGAGAAAGTGTAATTAAATATTTGTTTCCCAAGATTCTACGAAGTATTCTATGTTCTAAGAGTCTTTATATGCTATTAAGACTATCAAGAAAATCATAATTTTTCTGTTCCTCATTCCTATTAGGTTTATTGGTGCTGAGATCAGAATTGTTTGGTAGGTTAGTGACCTTTGTAGGTATATATTTAAAATAGCTTTAGTTGCTATTCTTCAGTGCATAAGTGTTGCCCACACAGTGCCAGAGTTTATGACTAGAATTATTTTCTTTGCCCTCAATCATGTACACTGGAACCAAACTTTGCTTTTGCTTTTGTTTCTTGTGCAATAATTTATTTTTAAACCACAATTCAGCTTTCTGGATGGGTGATAAATTTTCCAATAAGGTTTCTTATACACAGGTACAACAGAAATATGTTAAGTTACTTCTTCTTTCCAAATGGTTTTGTTCTTCCCACACTGACATACCTCAGTATTCTATTTCACTTCTGGTTGTGACTATGTTTTAGGAATATCTGTTTTGTTATGTTGTTACTAGTAATAGCAATTATGAGCAGAGTATATTTGTAATTTTTGCAATTAATGCATGCAGCTATAAGCAGGACAGAAGATGAAGCCAGATGTTGGATATACACCTGTCCTCCTGTACCCTCTACCTCCAAGTGAACATGTTCCCAAATGCTGTACTCTAAATCATTTAAACCTTGTACTTTTATGTTACTTTGATACCTCTGCAGTGATTTCAGTGGCTTTGAAATACTAATGACCTATGTATAGTTTTAGGCTATTTAATTTTATTTTTGTTTTAATTTGTTTGGTTTTGAGTGGAACTCTCTTCCAAGTCCCAGGACAAGACATAGGCTTTAGTGATGGGTCCAAATCAAAATGTCACATTCACCCATAACCTTGGCTTTTGAGCTGTAAAAAGTCACGTTTTATTGTTTATTCATGCAAAACTTGTAAGCATATCTGTAAAGTCCAAATAGAAGAATTTTTTTTGACTGGGATATTGTACAGCAAGAGCTCTTAAACCAAGCTAGCACAACTGTTTGTCCAAAAGTGGCCACAAAAACTGCAGTGGTAGCAGATGGAGGGAAGGGTTTTGGTGATGAGCAGCAGCTGTGGCATCACAGGTTCATCACCTGTGCAGTGCAATGGTGGCACCCTTGAGTTCCTAGGTGGAGCCTCTTAGGTGGAACTCCCAAACCCTTCTTCATCCTGAGGTCTGACAACGAGGGCGCCGGTGGTTTTGCAGTACCCCTTTGTGCTGGTGGCAGTCAAGCAATAATCAAGTATCATCTTAGCATCTTCTCCTCAAAAGGCCTTTGGCCTCCAGAAATCTTGTTATTTGCTTGATCCAGGATCTGCAAACTTCCTGCTCTTCCCCTAAGTCACATCTGTCCCCCCCAGTCTTGCTGTAGGGTCAGCTGGTGAGTCATCCCCCTAGCCTCCAGCACCATCAAATTTATCCCGACCAAACCAAACAAAATGTGTCTCTGAAAAACTTTCAGCAAAAGGTTCTCTACGGCTTTCCTGAGAATTGTAGTTGGTGCACTTCATGGTCCTGCCTCGGAAAAGTTGTGCAAGTTGGCAGCATTTTTTTATTTTTGGTGGACTTGGAGAAAGATAGTCAGCTTCCTCCTCCAGTCAGCCTTTTACAGCTGTGAGGGCTGTTAACACCCATGTGTTAAAAACCCCAACCAAGACAAAACTCCCCAAGTTTGTTCCTATTAATTATGTTTCCTTAAATCTGTCAGAGTTGTTCATTTTGTCTGACTGCTTCTAAAATATGGTGTCCAATAGGCCTACTAATTGAGATCTCCCAAGTGCCCAGGGAAGAGGGGTAATTACGTAATTACGTCTTATTAAATATTTCAAGAGCTGTATTTGCTGGTTTTGCAACAATATTGGAAATGAGGAGTTTGTAGAGGAATACTGGATACATTACTAGGAGCATTTGGAAATGTTTAACTTTCTGCTCACCTTGTGGCAGATAAAGCAGTTCATTATTTGTTGCATTTGGGGATATTGAAAGTGACTGTACTTTATCATTACAATAGGGACTGTGTGACAAGTGCTGTTAAATAAAGGGACTTCAGTGTTAAGTGAAAAAAAAACCCAACAAATCCCAGTGAAACAGGATCCTAATGGTGAAACAAAGAGAAAAAGAAGATCAAAGCCAGACAGAAAAATAATACAACCATAAACTCTATTTAAATTATATTTACCATGTTCTGGCTATTAAACAGACTACTACATGGTAGAAATCAGTGCCAGATGGTAATAGGAAACAACACTGTTATGGACACGTCAGTTGTGTTGGCTTATTCCAGCTTTGAAAAAATGTTTTTAGAATACTTGCTGAAGTGAGGTCCCCAGGCCTTAGAGGGATGACACGTTGAATTAAGAAATGTGTGCATGCTTTTGCTCAGTGATTTTAATGGGGATCCCTACCAGATTACACCAGAGTGTGTGCTCTTGAAATGTCCCAGCTGAGCAGGCTGCCTTTCAAGACAGAAGTACATACATTCATTGCTCTCTGAGTAGTAACAAGACAGTAATAAGACAGTAACAAGACAGCTCAACTAGAAGAAAATCAGTATTTAAAAAAAAATAAAATCACTTGAGGAATATTAAACCAGGTATTTCTTTTTGGTCAGTGTTACATATAAGGTTTGTTCTTGCATCTTCTTGCTTGTGTGCAGTTCTTGAATGAGAAAGAAACTGTTGAAAGGAGCCACTTACTAGTTTGTGCTGGTTAACATCCAAGCAGGGTATCCTGTTTCTCCCTGGGACTGCCCTTTTCTTTACCTACAATACATAATCACTACAAGCAGTATGCCGTCCCCTCTGCTGCTTGTTCAAAGAATCCCTTTGCTGTATTCAAACCTTCTATCCTCCTGTGATGGAAAAAATATTCATCTCATTTCAGAGTTATACACAGGCTGCCCCCAAACAATGTCTAAATAAATAAATTTTCATATGGAAGTTCTGCTTTAGTTTATTTAAGCAGTATGTGCCATGTTAGTGGTACCCCGTATTTCCCAGCTGCTGAAGCATTTCTCATTTTTGTTCTTGCCAGCAGCCAAATCCAGAATGTCTTGTTGGAGCTTCTTGTTTAGTTTAGTTAAGTTGCATGGGCAATGGCATGGAAAGATTTTCTTTTGTGGGTGACCTGCTCCCTGGATCTCCTGATTATAAGAGATGCTATCTTACTCTGTTAGAGGAGTTCACATCTCCCAGATCTGTTGTTCCTCCCTCCTTGCCATTCTTATATGGCTCCAGTGTGCTAACTGTTAGTTCAGTCTTTTACATCACAGAATGGTTGGGGTGGGAAGGGACCTGAAAGATCATCTAGTTCCAAGCCTCCTGCCATGAGCAGGGACACATGCTGGAACATTGCTTTAAAGCCCCATCCAACCTGGCCTTGAACACTCCTAAGGATGGGGCACCCACAATTTCTCTGGGCAGCCTTCTCCAGTGTCTTCCAGCTACCTAATCTAAAACCTATTCTCATTCAGGCCATTCCCCTTTATCCTATCACTACATGCCCTTATAAGAATACTGCTACTGAGCTCAATGTCTCGCCTGTGCAAAGGAGAAAAAAATGTGTATCTCTGGAGCCCTTTGGTTGTCTTAATTTTCCTTTGCTGACTTATACGTAGGGCTGCCTTATGCTGCTGTGTGGGCGATTCATTCTGTATAGCACAGAGAAATTGGAGGACAGCTGGGAAAATCCAAGGTGTGTTAGAGTCTGATTTTAGATGGCACAAGCTGCAGTCCAGCAAGTTGATCAAAATACATGCTAAGGCATTTAAGCTGAACATACTAAGGTATCATCTTGCTTGGTTTGCACCAGGATGCAGGTTTGGTGATGCATGTTGAAGCACACCTCCCGTCCTCAGTGAGGACACCCAGTGCTACTGCATCTCTCCCTGCAGGTCGCCTTGTGCATAGCCCATGTCAGCTTTCACTAGGGCTACTTCTTTTTGTTTTCATCAGCTGTAAGGACTTATTGATTGAGATAATGGAGATGACTGTTCTTTTAAGAGTGCTTGGAGGTCAAGGGTGTATTTAACAGCACAAAACCATGATAGGAAAAATGAGGCAAAGAGCAGGATTTTTAACATTGCAGGCTTGGCCCTGACAGCAGCTTGCCATTCCATGTGACCTGGAGAATTTGGACTCCAAAGAACTGAAACAATGTGCCTGCCTCTAGAAGGACACAGTTCATTTGTTTGAGCATTTCCCTTTGTTTCACAACAAACGATCAGCCTGCCTTGTCCTGCTAAAAGTAAATTAGATTTTGAAATGGGACGTGTAGTCTGTTGTCTGCAGACTGCAGTGTCCAAGTCACGTCTTACTGAGAAGGGTTGTGGTGATGGGGATTTTAGGGTTTTTAGTTGTGTGGTGGAAAACAGTACAGGTAGTTGTCTTTGCTGTGGTCTGTATGTGTTCGTGGGCATATCAAACACAAATATTGACACGCTTGAGACTTTACGGAAAAATAAAATAAGTGAGAACAAATCCTTCTTGTCATGTGCAAATTATGTCTACATCAAATTTCAAGTTGTCAGCATTGATGGAGGTGATGTGTCATGGCTGTTTTGGCATAGAAGAGTTTCCTGTAGGAGTTCATTTTCCTCTGCAAGGTAAAAAAACCCAAACAAATCAAATATATAGCTCTCCCTTTCACCACCCCCACCTACTGCTGTCAGCTCTGAGCTTTGTAGGGAT